AGCCTATACTCATCCCCTTCTCAGCTCTAGCAGCCTATACCCATTCCCTTCTCAGCTCTAGCAGCCTATACTCATCCCTTCTCAGCTCTAGCAGCCTGTACTCATCCCTTCTCAGCTCTAGCAGCCTATACTCATCCCTTCTCAGCTCTAGCAGCCTATACTCACTCCCTTCTCAGCTCTAGCAGCCTATACTCACTCCCTTCTCAGCTCTAGCAGCCTATACTCATCCCTTCTCAGCTCTAGCAGCCTATACTCACTCCCTTCTCAGCTCTAGCAGCCTATACTCATCCCCTTCTCAGCTCTAGCAGCCTATACTCACTCCCTTCTCAGCTCTAGCAGCCTATACTCATCCCCTTCTCAGCTCTAGCAGCCTATACTCACTCCCTTCTCAGCTCTAGCAGCCTATACTCACTCCCTTCTCAGCTCTAGCAGCCTATACTCACTCCCTTCTCAGCTCTAGCAGCCAATACTCACTCCCTTCTCAGCTCTAGCAGCCTATACTCACTCCCTTCTCAGCTCTAGCAGCCTATACTCATCCCCTTCTCAGCTCTAGCGGCCTACACTCATCACCTTCTCAGCTCTAGCAGTCTATACTCACTCCCTTCTCAGCTCCAGCAGCCTATACTCATCCCCTTCTCAGCTCTAGCAGCCTATACTCACTCCCTTCTCAGCTCTAGCAGCCTATACTCATCCCCTTCTCAGCTCTAGCAGCCTATACTCACTCCCTTCTCAGCTCTAGCAGCCTATACTCACTCCCTTCTCAGCTCTAGCAGCCTATACTCACTCCCTTCTCAGCTCTAGCAGCCTATACTCACTCCCTTCTCAGCTCTAGCAGTCTATACTCATCCCCTTCTCAGCTCTAGCAGTCTATACTCATCCCCTTCTCAGCTCTAGCGGCCTATACTCATCCCCTTCTCAGCTCTAGCAGCCTATACTCATCCCCTTCCCAGCTCCAGCAGCCTATACTTATCCCCTTCCCAGCTCCAGCAGCCTATACTCATCCCCTTCTCAGCTCTAGCGGCCTATACTCACTCCCTTCTCAGCTCTAGCAGCCTGTACTCATCCCCTTCTCAGCTCTAGCGGCCTATACTCACTCCCTTCTCAGCTCTAGTGGCCTACACTCATCCCCTTCTCAGCTCTAGCAGCCTATACTCACTCCCTTCTCAGCTCTAGCGGCCTATACTCATCCCCTTCTCAGCTCTAGCAGCCTATACTCATCCCCTTCTCAGCTCTAGCAGCCTATACTCACTCCCTTCTCAGCTCTAGCAGCCTATACTCATCCCCTTCTCAGCTCTAGCGGCCTATACTCACTCCCTTCTCAGCTCCAGCAGCCTATACTCATCCCCTTCTCAGCTCCAGCAGCCTATACTTATCCCCTTCCCAGCTCCAGCAGCCTATACTCATCCCCTTCCCAGCTCTAGCGGCCTATACTCACTCCCTTCTCAGCTCTAGCAGCCTGTACTCATCCCCTTCTCAGCTCTAGCGGCCTATACTCACTCCCTTCTCAGCTCTAGTGGCCTACACTCATCCCCTTCTCAGCTCTAGCAGCCTATACTCACTCCCTTCTCAGCTCTAGCGGCCTATACTCATCCCCTTCTCAGCTCTAGCAGCCTATACTCATCCCCTTCTCAGCTCTAGCAGCCTATACTCACTCCCTTCTCAGCTCTAGCAGCCTATACTCATCCCCTTCTCAGCTCTAGCGGCCTATACTCACTCCCTTCTCAGCTCCAGCAGCCTATACTCATCCCCTTCTCAGCTCTAGCAGCCTATACTCATCCCTTCTCAGCTCTAGCAGCCTATACTCATCCCCTTCTCAGCTCTAGCGGCCTATACTCATCCCCTTCTCAGCTCTAGCAGCCTATACTCATCCCCTTCTCAGCTCTAGCAGCCTATACTCACTCCCTTCTCAGCTCCAGCAGCCTATACTCATCCCCTTCTCAGCTCTAGCAGCCTATACTCATCCCCTTCTCAGCTCCAGCAGCCTATACTCACCCTCTTCTAAACTATCAGGGATAATGGGATTAAATCATAACATACCATACTCAATCATAGCACATCATACTCAATCATAACACATCATACTCAATCATAACACACCATACTCAATCATAACACACCATACTCAATCATAACACTGAAGTCAATACAGAGTGGTCACCCTGTTCACAATCTGGCAATATGACGGAGCCATTGTCTGACACTCTGACCAACACATGACAGTGCGAACTAAGCTGTAATGTTGCAGCATGACATGCAGGCTGTCTTCGTGACACCAGGTTGCCCAGGAACAAACAAACCCTGCACCATGTTCACAACAACATTTGGAGCCATCGACGCAAAACATTTGACAAAGATTATTCTGAGCTAGTGTAAACGTTCAACATCATAAGAAAGACTTGACATGTCATTTGAACAAACAGTTCCTATTTATCGAGCTTACACATTCTAGTTTCCAGCTTTCCTTGTTGATGGCCTTTAAAAATGCTTTTGCAAATGCGGAAATGAGGAACATGCTGGTTGAATGTGTAGACAAGGCATGTAGAAAGGGAGAGTCGCTAACAGTGACACTCGGTAACGACAACTTTCAGATATCAGAGAGTTACAATATACGTTGTAGACATGGCATGTAGAAAGGGAGAGTCGCTAACAGTGACACTCAGTAACGACAACTTTCAGATATCTGAGAGTTACAATATACGTTGTAGACAAGGCATGTAGAAAGGGAGAGTCGCTAACAGTGACACTCAGTAACGACAACTTTCAGATATCAGAGAGTTACAATATACGTTGTAGACATGGCATGTAGAAAGGGAGAGTCGCTAACAGTGACACTTGGCAACGACAACTTTCAGATATCAGAGAGTTACAATATACGTTGTAGACAAGGCATGTAGAAAGGGAGAGTCGCTAACAGTGACACTCAGTAACGACAACTTTCAGATATCTGAGAGTTACAATATACGTTGTAGACAAGGCATGTAGAAAGGGAGAGTCGCTAACAGTGACACTCAGTAACGACAACTTTCAGATATCTGAGAGTTACAATATACGTTGTAGACAAGGCATGTAGAAAGGGAGAGTCGCTAACAGTGACACTCAGTTACGACAACTTTCAGATATCTGAGAGTTACAATATACGTTGTAGACAAGGCATGTAGAAAGGGAGAGTCGCTAACAGTGACACTCAGTAACGACAACTTTTAGATATCTGAGAGTTACAATATATGTTGGTGCAGGATCAGGAGTGGTACATGGGGTTTCATGCGTCCCGTGTTATGTACCCTTTGTGATGGTGATCCTGCTACAACAAATTTATCTTACCGACATGATTTAATGTGACAATGTAAAGCAATTTACACAAATTCAAAATTGATAGAAAACAGCTGTTCGATTAAGATAATGTTAACTTGTGATATGTCACGTGACTTCCATTGACTCGGAAACAGCTTGCTGCTTTTGGCTCTCATATTTGGGTATAAGGAATTTATTCTGTCTCTCAGAAATTCACCTGCAGTCTGTACTGCTCGTGGCGGGGTATAAGAGATTTATTCCCCTGCTGAGAAATTCATTACTCTCCAAGGGTTACACAGTATTTAATCAAGATCACGTGGGCCAATCTCATCATTCAGACATGGAGGTATGATAATTATTATCTATTATGTGCTTCAGTGTGAAAGTCTGAAGTTGAGAAAAGTGATATTTTCATTGCAGTGAACTTAATACTTAATTGATATTTCACTGCTGTGAACATAACAATTTGCCAGAACTATTGTCATACAAGAGTTACCTCCCCTCAAATTGTCTCCCTTTATCGTAAGTGTCTGGCCCAAACCTTTGACTTCCTTTTAAGGTTAGTTCCACATTGACTAGGCAAAATAATGATAGATGGTCATTTATGGAGTTAATATTGCTTCATACCATGTTTTTCTCTTGAAAACGTTTTGTAATAAACTGGAAATTTTTCAAATAACTCTTCAATCGTTTCGCAAAGTGCCATTTTTGTTACTTGACCACCAGGGTGTATTCTTTCACTTCCAACAGCAGTCTTGTAGAATATTTTTTGTTAAAGTTGCTTTTGTATATAATCATATTTATAATTATGATGCAGAATTTTTGTGACCCTAAATATTTTCATCCGTGGCTACTCTCCCCCAAACCCAACCCCCCACACACACGAAATATCCTCTATATCCAAGAGTGATATGTCAACATCGAGACAAATCCTACATCTATTGTATCTAGGTGAAAGACTATATATTTCCTTTCCTTGTATGATAAGTAATGGAAAAATCACCAGATTTGATTGATCCTACTTTTGGAGTGACTTCACTGATTTACACCATATTATGGTTGAGATATGATCTCTGTATAATTTTGCATAATGACCTATAGTTGCATCAGTTTTGCTAAAAATATATGTTCAGAATGGCCATAGAATTCCTGGCAAAGAATTAACTGCAACAAAAACAGCATGACGTCATAATGGTCTTAGGATAATAGAATATATCTGAGTGCCATGTGTGTCATGAATTTACATCCTTGCTTATCAAGGGTAATATATGTCCATACCATTATGATAAATACCCGGGACCTAACTGTCCATCCTCGGTTATCCAGTGTTTATAATACTGTCTTTACCATAATAGTGAGTAAGAATGTTTTAGGGTGAGTAAGTATGGTTTTAAGCAGCTTTTAGCAATATTCCAGCAATATCAGAAATTGGCTTCACTCAGTGTACTCATGTCGGGAATCTAACCCGGGTCTTGGGCGTGACGAGCGAATGCTTTAACCACAAGGCTACCCGACTGCCCCCTTTGCTATAATAAGCTTCAGGGCGCAATGTGTATGTCTGAGTCTGTGTGTGTGTGTGTGTGTGTGTGTGTGTGTGTGTGTGTGTGTGTGTGTGTGTGTGTGTGTGTGTGTGTAATGCAGACAGATACTTACAGGTGTGTGCGTGTGCGTGTGCGTGTGGAGAATGTGGAATGCAGACAGATACTTACAGTCCTGGATCTCCAGTCTGACGCTGCCCACTCGGAATTGGGACTATGAGGACTTTTAGGGCTGAAAAGTAGAAAAATAACCAGCGTTAGAAATTGGCACAAATCCCAACAGTTAAGATATCTCGAGGAGGAGAAGAAATTTGCCATTCTCAAGGGTTTTGCTATGTTATCATTATAAGGACTAGTGGTTTAAAAAAAATATTAGTTTCTATTGCTGAATAAACTTCATGACATGAGCGAATCTCTGCCGGCATGTGGCGGTTTACATTAATGTAAGTTTATTTCTAACGATAGTGCATGGGACAAAAAGAAGAAAAAAAGCAAAAACTGTTGAATAACACAAATACATAAGATGAATGTTACATAGTGACAGCAAATAAGGATGACGGATGCAGTTATTCCAACCATACTTTGCCGATACATGTACATGTTTCAGAATGAATCAAAAATATTTTGTTACACGGCAACATGTTTCCGAAATGAACTGCTGCCTTCATCATTGTGCTTAGTCGACAGGGCACATATACACGGTTACACTTGCAGCATGTCCCACCAGCCGGTCATACATATGGTGTGACTTTCAGTGCGATCCTGAGACATACCCAGGAAAAGAAAGCATGTTCCCATTTCCCTGGTTACCATGGTTACCTGCACCAGATGTAGGCAAATAAACTCAACCTGTCCATACCTGGTGTATGGGAAACACTATGTCGGAGGAGTATATCAGAATAAACTGCTGGTAACAGCAAAGTAATGTTATGGAGAAGAATTGGTTTGAATTGTTTGGAAAATGATGAAAATGACAAGAAAATCTTTCATAAACATTTACAATTACTTTCCAATTATAGATATAAATGTCAAAAAAGGCTGTAAAGCTGAGTCAGCACAAATCTGTCGCCATCCTGGCCATACATTGCTGGCATAGCTGAGTGGGGCAGACAAGTGTATGTAGGTGCTACACTACTTATTGTACTTTGGGAGGTACCCCACAGGAACTCTACAGGACAGCCAACAATGGTCCGTTTATTTTTTAACATGTTGAATGTCCTTGTATTTATTTCTGTTTGCTTGTTGTTATCACAGCACTCAGCACTATTCCAACTATATCATAGTGGCATGTGAATAATCCAATCCAGTGATTCACAGGAGCAACGATCAACATCATCAGGATCAACCAAGTCACCATGTCTGACCAACTGATCCCATCTTCCCGAGGCAAGGGCATTTACTGACTATAAAAGACCAGTTTCCACCCTTGCCGAACTAGGTTTGAATTTCTGGGCTCGTAGCGCCACCAGTGGCTATTACGAGTAATGTGCCTTCTATGTTCCTTCTATTGACCAATCAGATTCCACCTCTCATATCACCTGCATTTGTTTCAAACAAATTGGCGGCACCCAGTCAAGATGATCAGATCGAAAATCAAGATCTATCTTGAAATAAAATGGGTCTTATTGCAAAGTGCATCAAATCATGCGAGCACTATGGTTAGAAACATGAAAGGATTGGAAAATATATGTTGACGCCCAGTTGGCGATACACATGCTTAAAAAAATGGCAATCAACCGATCTGCACAGCAGTTGATGAACTGTTATGCGATTTTGATTGGACTATACATAGACTCATAAATCCAGGCAAAATATAACTCCATAATTCCAGTCTAGCTCGGAAAGGGTGGAAACTGGACTTTTACAATCAGTTAACTCACTTGCCTCGGGAAGATGAACTGAACCATTTAATGGCTTCTTTTGACCAGCATAGGTTGCTGGGGACTGAAATCTAACCCAGAATGAGGACAAAGAGCAAGTTGGGGTATGTGTGACCTCATCAGATCGATATGGAGCCATGTGATGACCTGTGGCCAGCTGACCTGTCAATGACCTGATGTATATATCCTCTCCTGCCCCCCCCCCCCCCCGGGAATACATACATCACGTCCATCAAGCTGGCACACAATGTCACAATGGACACAAACAACACGTACACATTGGATTTGTGCTACCTTAGTTAAGATTCTACATGTCAGTCGAAGATGTGTATGTGACATTACCGATTTACTAAGATTGCGCACGACAAACTTTCTTTCATGATCATACTAAGAACACCAAAACTTCAATTATTTTCATTTTCACCAATATTCAAATCCCCCAAAACTTTCTCTTGATGAACATGATGAAGGTGATGCGTTGATAAAACGAAATGGTGTAGTGAATAATGCCAAATGGTCACTTCAGTACTCATGGACAGTCTATAATTGACAAGCCACGCCTCAGTGTCATAACACAAGGCACTACTGCAACGCCCAACACTGTCTGGCATACTGACACCCACATGTTGAATCTGGCTGAGGTCAGCATTAATTCCCGGACCTCTGACTGAGGCTATCTGGAAGCTGTCAGACTGGTCATTCATGCAGTAAGCCCCCTTGTAGAGATACTACACCATGTTAATGACCTGTCCTATCTGTCCCATCACAGCTACAAGTGGCACGCCTCCCGTAATGAGCCCAGCAGACCCACTCAAGTACAGCACTGCAGTTCCTGCCAGAGCGGACCCAGAGACTAACACCAAGTCTACAAGGGTCTATGAAACATTTCCTTAAAATAATTAAAAGAAATTGTCAATAGAACCTTTCCTCCTTTGCTGTTTTTGTGTGGAATCAAGGAAACTAGAACTGGTTTATTTTGATTTAGACTAGCCTAGGCTTTTGGGAAAAATAAACAAATGAATAAAAAGTCCACAGTCATGGTGCAGGACTACAAACCCAGACAAGTACATAACTACAATTCCTGCCCGAGGACTCACAGTCTACGACTCACAGTTTGGCTCCTTCTACTGCCTCCTGGGTGAATGCACAACTTTTGCAACATTGTAAAACAGGCCACAATACAGACATTTCATTGTTGTTTACCATCACACTAATCAACATTTCAGCCATGAGTTGGGTCCACACAATCCAGTGATTGATGTTATGAGCAACATCTTCACCATTGAGGTAGAATCACTTGTTATGGCCTCTTATGACCAGTATATGTTGTTGGGGACGAATTCTAACCTAAATCCTCTTGGGGTTTAAGTGAGGGAGTGAGTATGGTTTTACGCCACTTTTAGCAATATTCCAGCAATATCACGGCGGGGGACACCAGAAATGGGCTTCACACATTGTACCCATGTCGGGAATCGAACCAGGGTCTTCGGCGTGACAAGCGAACGCTTTAACCACTAGGCTACCCAACCACCTCCCTTGTTCATAGGTGAGTCAAAAATACAAAGTACTCAGTTCAGTAGCTAGTCCTTGATGACAGAAACATTCCAAGATACAGGATTCACCTACAATGTTAGTATGTATATATAGATGTAGGAGTTGGGACAAAGAGCAGTTTGGGAGTGACCTCATCAGATCAATATGGAGCCTGGTGGTGACCTGTGGCCAGCTGACCTGTCAATGACCTGATGTATATACCCTCTCCTGCCTCCGGGAATACATACATCACGTCCATCACACAATGTGACAGTGGACACCAACACATACACATACAGTTATTTCATATAGAGAGTACTTATGGTAGTCCAACATGATCATAGTCCCACATATAGAGTTGCATATTAGCCTCAAACAATTATATTTCCATGAAGGAATCTTGAGTGTTAAGGAACCTTCAATTCTCTTAAATTTCAGTGAACTGAAAAGGGGATGAGTATGGGCTGCTAGGGATGAGAAGGGGAGTAAAAGGAAAAGGGGTGATTATCATACCCCCATGATGACATCTCATTTCTTCACGTGATCTTGATAAAATATAATGTATCCTCCCTGGGAGGGTCATAAATTTCTGAGGAGGAGAGTAAATCCCTTATACCCCGCCATGAAGAACACAGGCTGCACATGCTTTACTGAGCGGGAGAATATACCCCACCATGAACAAGACAGGCTGCACATTGATTTCTGAGAAGGAGAATAAATCCTTTATTCCCCGCTGCGAGGCAAATGAGCTGCACGTGACATGGCACATCTTAACCTGTTATCTATCAATTTTGAATTTGTTTGAATTCTTGGCAGGTTAAAACAAGTCAGTTAGATAAATTTGTTGCAGCAGTATCACTAGGGGTACATGTGGTTTTATGCATCCCTCATTAGGTTTTATGAGTTATGTAACGCAGGATGCAAAAAAACACGTGTTTTGTTTGTTTGTTGTTTAACGCCGCACTCAACAATATTCTAGCTATATGACGGCAGTCTGTAAATAATTGAGTCTGGACCAGACAATCCAGTGATTGACAACATGAGCATCGATCTATGTAATTGGGATCGCTGACATGCATCAACCAAGTCAGCGGGCCTGACCACCTGATCATGTTTGTGGCCTCTTACGACAAGCTTAGTCGTCTTTTTCGGCAAGCATGGGTTGCCGAAGGCCTTATCTAGGGCTGACCAGATGCTGAGATGTATCCCCATTGGAGCAAATGTCAGTAAAATTCCTAGATTGTGAGTAAAAATCTTTCCCAATTCATGTTAGCCTAGTTATCACTGACGACTTGGCCTTGAAGACACTTGTACTTGACCAGGAAAACGTGGCCAATAAACATCATAAAGAGGCTTTAACGCTTGGCTGTAGAATATAGCATTGACGCAACGCTGAGAATACATTTGTGGAATACCTTTGCACTTAAGAAAAACAACCCAATAATCAGCAAAATAATAAAAAAAAATCCCAACTTGTCTGTTAAGGTCACTTTAAAGTTTCTAAATCGAAATCGCGCTCCAAAATGATCCCTGCCCTACACAAGTGTGATGTCTAAACACTTGGCATTTCCGCAGTTTGTAGTCCTAATGTCCTTTCCTTTCCCAAGCATGACGCGACCTTTACAAAGGTCAAGAGCAGATCCACATCAAGGGACACAACAAATTTGTGGTGCTGGCTAGCTTAACTGCTTTGAACCAGCTTTCTAAATAGTTCCGTCCAACTGCATCAACTGGTCAATCAAGCAGAAAACAATATGTCAATATTTGACAATGGACCTAATTTGACCAGCAGCCAGCAGGCCTGAATACACCTCTATGAAGGCTGGACTTATCTTGTTTGACATGTTTAAGAGGGGTATAAACATAGGCTCATTTGGAGACCATTGTGATTGATCCCTTTTCACAGAAATCATCATCTGTTAAACCATTTTAATAGGATGACATTAAACATGTCAAAGCTAGTAAAAAAAGAGTCATCAGATGACAAATCTCCACCCCCTCCAACCACAATAGCAAAAGTTACCTCTTCAGCCCCTGGTTAATACATGTACCAAGTTTGGATGAAAAATATTTCACAGTTTTCAAGTTGTGCTTTGGAAACTAAATACAAACGGACGGACAGTCCAGATGAAGACTATAACCCTGCATTGTATTGTAAACAAAATGAATTAATATGCTACATGTGCTAAGGTACTGTAACTTTTTAAGAAATTTATATTTCTTGAAGTAAAAAAACATGATGTCTGATAAACGCTAAACGTTACAAAAAACTAAAAAAAAAGCTAAAAAACCTAAAACAAACATAAGAATCTTGCACACCATCATCTACACTGAAATGACAAATGTTGAACTCGGCACATCAGTGTAGTGTATGAGCTACCATGGTAACAGCAGACAATAAGTGTTTTTCACTCAGTGAAAAAGGTAATAAATTGCCGCTTAATGACCCAATATTAATTAAAACCAAGATGGACACCTGTGCAAAGTCAACAAGGTCAAGTCTGAGTCGGGATGACACAACGACTCTGTGGTTCATGCTTTATTCATGGGATTCATCAATTGCCCAGCTCGGTGTGGTCAAGAATGTGTCGGGCTTGCTGTCATTCATTCCTCTGTCCACTGAGCTCCACCAGGCTGGGAATTGTCAGGGGTCCTTGCTTAGAATAGCCTAATGGGCCTCAGTGGCTGGTTGGGCTGATGGCTGGATCTCTTGAAAGGACATGCAAAGCCCTTCTCTTATACTTTACAGGGTTCACATAGTTGCGCCTGTCCACAAGGGAGGGTGGGGTGTTGCTGGGTCGTAATACTGTTCGGAGGGCCTTGGTAGGTTTTTCTAAGTGTGAGTGAGTGAGTTTGGTTTCGCGCCGCTTTTAGCAATATTCCAGCAGCATCACGGCAGGAGATACCAGAAATGGGCTCTACACATTGGACCCATCCAAGTATGAAGACAATGACGAAATAAGAACATGAAGAAGCTACTGCTATCTTCAATTTAATCTATCTATTTTCAAAATATTCAGAGCAATTGAATCCCATTTAAGGCATGCCACAGACATACCAATTTAGCTGCAAGGCTTTCTAGCTGGAGTAATCAGAATTTTGGATCAGAGAGGTCATACAAGGGCAAAAAGAATAAATCGACAAACGATTGACATCCTCATAGCATCTTCATTACATTTGACTATCAACTTGTAATGTGTGTGAAAAGTCGTATGAAAATACGCTATATGAAGGGGGCGTGGCCTAAATGCAAATGTCCGATTTGGATTTTAAATTTTCCGAACCCCTGGTTTGATATTGATAGCAAGAGTAACATGCAGAAACGTTTTAAGAGTTATGGGCACGATTGACATTTTCAACATGGCTGCCATCTTAAATCTTAGGCCAAGCTGGCACTCTGGCAACAGGCTGGAAATGCTATACACAGCAACGCCAAGAGAATATACAATTCAATATCAGGCAATAACATTGCTATATAACTCTAATTAATCTACACTGCATGATTTTGGGTATCATACAGGCCCATCTTTGTGCACAGGCCCACTTCCTATCTTGTTAATTGAGGAAAGCAGTTATTCTCGCAGTTTCAAACCAAACCCAATTTGCAAAAACAGCTTCGTAAATCACAAGGCCAGCATGGCCAAGCAAGCTTATCATCGTGTTTATCTGTTGTTTATTACTGCACGCAGCAGTATTCCTAGCAATATGACGGCAGCCTGTAAATAATGAAATCAAAATCAGACAATCCAGTGATTGATATTAGGAGCAACAATCCACACATTCAGGCTACGCTGACACGCTATCAACCGTTTCCTAGTCTGACCATCTGATCCAGTGACGATCCACACATTCAGGATATGCTGACACGCTATCAACCGTTTCCTAGTCTGACCATCTGATCCAGTGACGATCCACACATTCAGGATATGCTGACACGCTATCAACCGTTTCCTAGTCTGACCATCTGATCCAGTGACAATCCACACACTCAGGATATGCTGACACGCTATCAACCGTTTCCTACTCTGACCATCTGATCCAGTAACGATCCACACACTCAGGCTACGCTGACACGCTATCAACCGTTTCCTAGTCTGACCAACTGATCCAGTGACGTTCCACACACTCAGGATACGCTGACACGCTATCAACCGTTTCCTAGTCTGACCATCTGATCCAGTGACCGCCCACACAGTTGGGATACGCTGAAATGCTATCAACCGATTCCTAGACGTATCCAGTAAGTCACTTTTGACAATCGAGTCTGGACCAGACATTCCAGTGATTGACATCATGAGCATCGATACAGGCAATTGGGGTGTGATGACATGTACCAACAGAGTCAGCGAGCCTGACCACCCGATCACATTAGTCACCTTTTACGACATGCATTGTCGCCTTTTACGGCAAGCATGGGTTGCTGAGGACCTATTCTACCCCAGATCTTCACGGGTCGATTCTTCACTTCAGCATGATAGGCTTACATTGACAATGTGAAGATGAAGTAGAATGAAATTCCGAAATGGTGTCATGTTTATAACCCAACTGGAAATATTTTAGAGACATCAATGTTGGGCCTTCAGTTCAGGTGAGCTAACAACACTTCCTGATTGTAGCAGCTGCCAATAACATATCATAACATTTCTGGTTATTTCTGAAAGGTGGTACTGATTTTAAATACATAACATGCATATAGCACAAGTTTCATCACTTTGTCATTGCAACTTGACATTTTATGAATACTTGATATTCTTTTTAAATTCATCACGGTCATAAAGAGGTAAAGAGGCTTGACTAAGGGACCAGTTAAAAATATCCATGCTTGGTAGAATAGTGTGTGTGTGCATTCGTGATGGGCGTGTGTGGTGGGCGTGGGGTTGCAGGTGTGTGTGAAGGTGAAAGGCCCATTCAGCAAATCAACTTACCTAATTTCTCCATGTTTCATATTGTAACTGAACTTAAATACATCCAGACTTTCCCCGAGCTAGGGTTTTATTGTTGCTGTGGTAAGTTCTTCTGAAGCAGTGCATCAGTTAGAAGGGCAGATATAAAAACCTTTCAAATGATTTTCAACACCTAGCAAATAAACTTCAATCGATAAACGTCCAAAAAAGCAGAGTAAAACACAAGAATATAGACAAAAGAGGCCACTAAACTCAGGAATCAACATTTCCAGAATTCAGCTCATTGGGTTTGGGTTTCTTTTGGGAGGGGGAGGTTGACGTGTCAAAACTTTTGAATTTATCAACAATTTTGAACTGGTCCCTATGGTTTTGCAACAACTTCCTGTGTACCTACCTGCCCCTGGCCGAGGACTCCTTGCTGTTTGGGCGTGAGGGTGTGCGAGATTCTCTCTGGGCTTCAATCAGGAGCTTCTCCAGGTTGCCATTATACACTGAGGGCACGGGCTCACCAGCAGCCATAGCCTGGTTCTGCAGCTCCACCCACGAGTCTGAAATAGCAAGGTCAAGGTCACTCAAACATCTCCAGCTCATGTAGAACTTACCCAAGTTTCCCTTTACCCTTGAAACTTGCCTACATTAAAGGGGTTCCATGATTCCATGGAAAACCAAGCTTGAAACATTCACCTTCATTGTAACAGCTTATTTCTCAATGGAAGGCATAGGTTACTCAGATGCCTAAGGTGCCGCAATTTGCTATACAGAATTGTCTCCCTTAGGTGTGCCAGGAAACTATGTTCTTCATGTTCATAGTTGCATAGCCAATCATTGATTCATCCTGATTGTTTTTACGTTTGTCAGCACCACAATCATGCTTGTGAGGTGAGGTGAAATTGGGTTTAACGTCGCGTCCAAGATTATTGCACTTATATAGCGACGTGCATGCACGTGTATTTGTGTGTGTATGTGTGTGTGTGGCTGCTTGTACTAGTCCGGACTGATGCCGATTTATAGTGCTAGCACACTGAGATACCATGCCGCAGTTTAACATGAATACCCCACTCAGACACAGTATACTGACTCCGAGCCGACCAGTCCTTGTTTTAGCCCCTTAATGCCGAGCGCCAGACAGGGTAACAACAAGTACAATCCTTTAACGTCTTTTTGTATGACGCGGCCCGGGATCGAACCCTGGACCTTCCGCTCCCCGGGCGGACGCTCTACCACAAGACCACGGAGGCGGTATCATGCTTGTGGGTTTCACCAGTGACTCTACACAGGCACAATGTATAAGCCCATTTCTGGCGTTCTTTGTCATGCTATATTCCTAAAAGCTGATAATGTTAATATACTCATTCACTCACTCACTCACTCCAACCTATGGTAATACTTTTATTCATTGTATCCCTGCAGCAGATATGACTGCTGCTTTGCAAGCATTAGACTGATGAAGAAAGTGCTGGCAACACGTCTGCATACCAGTGGCAGTATGTATAAGACCCGTGAAGATCCGGGGAAGAATAGATCTGCATCAACCCATGCTTGCCGTAAAAGGCGACTATGCTTATCGTAAGAGGCGACTAACGGGATCGGGTGGTCAGACTTGCTGACTTGGTTGATGCATGTCATCGATCCCCATTGCGTGGATCGATGCTCATGATGTCAATTACTGGATTGTCTAGTCCAGATTCAATTATTTACAGACCGCCGTCATAAAGCTGGAATATTGCTAAGAGTGGTGTTAAACAACAAACAAACAAACGGTATAACAAGTGCTGGTACTGGCGACTGAAGGGACTGCCTCCGTGGTCTAGTGGTAGAGCCTCCACCTGGAGAGCCGAAGGACGGGGGTTCGATCCCCTGGCCGTGTCATACCAATAGAGATTAAAAGATGGCTTTTGTTGTTACACTGCCTGGCGCTCGGCATTAAGGGGCCAATACAAGGACAGGTTGTCTCAGAGTCAGTATACTGAGTGGGGTCTTCATGTTAAACTGCGTCATGGCATCTCAGTGGTCCAGACTAGTACAAGCAGCCATACACACAGTTGCGTGCATGTGCAATAATCTTGGATGCGACGTTAAACCCCAATTGACCTCACCTAACCTCACTAACAGGACGAGGGGAAGGATGACAAGGCAAGCAGGACGGCAGCGATAAGCACAAAGGAAATGGGGAAACCTCTTCCATTTGCTAAGTTCCTGGACTGCTGAACTACTGCCTGTCCCTGGACTGCTGAACTACTGCCTGTCCCTGGACTGCTGAACTACTGCCTGTCCCTGGACTGCTGAACTACTGCCTGTCCCTGGACTGCTGAACTACTGCCTGTCCCTGGACTGCTGAACTACTGCCTGTCCCTGGACTGCTGAACTACTGCCTGTCCCTGGACAAGACATCATGCTGAAGTACACAATCTGATACCTACCACTTACATGCAAATTAGGTCAACATTCTGCTTAAACATAAAACATTTAAGCCTTAAATGAGCTACTACTATACATGGAACTATTTGCATTGATGCTGACAAATAATTGCATGTAACCAGTAGAGGACGTAACGTGTACGCGAGACGGCTCTCCCGTCTCGCGTACAAGTGACCCCCTGAGAGGGGTCACGCGTATGCGTGACGGTCTGTCGGTGAACCATGGATTTCTGCCTGTTGCACAAAAATGTCTCTACAAGCGTTATTTGTGAAAATAATAAAACAAAATTAAGTACAGTTATTGATTATCCTACTAGTTATCGAATGACATGAAAAAAATGTCATAAGAAAAATAATAAACGGTCAAATTGGGAGAAAAATGTGTAAAAATCGAGCAAAATGTTCTGTTTTTGACAGCAATTTTCTCCTATGTACATATTTTTCAGAAACTAACACGTAGTATTTTCTAAAAGCTTATTCATCGTAGAGTTACAAAATATATAAATTATTTCACGCACACCAACGCACACCCATTTTCCATCGCGTTGAAACATGTTTACTTTCTTCGAAACTGCGCGAACCGTCTCGCGTACAAGTGACTGGTCGACAAGCCGATAAAGGGAGGTAACCGATGCCTGACTAAAATGTTCAATCGGAACGTCCGTCTTGTTACACTAAATGTGTCTGAATCAGAATGATGCGTGTAATATGCACGATATTTATTTAGCGCGTAGTTTCGTGGTTAGAACAAGGAGGAAATGTATTTTGATCACGTATTAGAAAAACAATTTTGCAGTGGGTAATATATTTTTAGGTGGAAGTAAAATTGTTGGAAAACAAAGTATTTCTGTGAAAAAATGAGTAATGCACATAACATATTGAAATTAAAAGAGTCAAATTTGCCGATTTTGGACAGCGATTTTCATCTATGTGCATATTTTTCAGAAACATAATTTCAGTATTTTCTTAAAGCTTATTCGTCGTAGTATAACAACATATATCAATTATTTCACGCACACCAACGCACACCTATGTGCCAGCGCGTTGAAACATATCTACTTTCCTCAAACTGCTCGCAACTGCTAAACAAGTCTTCCCACAGCCCCGTTACGCGTACGAGAGACGGCTCTCCGAACAAGCAGTGAAACACGGCCTGAGAGAGAGTCACTTGTAGGCGTGACTGCCTGTCGAAGGATTGCAGATGTCTGCATGTGACACCAAAAAAACGTCTCTACACACTTCCTATGTGATTATATAAACAAATATACGTAGTTGACTGTTATAGATGCTTGTTATGGAACGATATACAAAGTAGAAAAATAAATTAAAGGGGTCAAATTTGGAGAGATATGTACGAAATTGGAGCCAAATTTGTCGATTTTGGACGGCGATTTTCTCCTATGTGCATATTTTTCATATACATAATTTCAGTATTTTCTTAAAGCTTATTCGTCGTAGTATAACAACATATATCAATTATTTCACGCACACCAACGCACACCTATGTGCCAGCGCGTTGAAACATATCTACTTTACTCAAACTGCTCGCAGTTGCTAAACAAGTCTTCCCACAGCCCCGTTACGCGTACGAGAGACGGCTGTCCGAACAAGCAGTGAAACACGGCCTGAGAGAGAGTCACTTGTAGGCGTGACTGCCTGTCGAAGGATTACAGATGTCTGCATGTGACACCAAAAAAACGTCTCTACACACTTCCTATGTGATTATATAACCAAATATACGTAGTTGACTGTTAGATGCTTGTTATCGAATGATATAAAAAGTAGAAAAATAAATTAAAGGGGTCAAATTTGGAGAGAAATGTACGAAATTGGAGCCAAATTTGTCGATTTTGGACAGCGATTTTCTCCTATGTGCATATTTTTCAGATACATAATTTCAGTATTTTCTTAAAGCTTATTCGTCGTAGTATAACAACATATATAAATTATTTCACGCACACCAACGCACACCTATGTGCCAGCGCGTTGAAACATATCTACTTTCCTCAAACTGCTCGCAGTTGCTAAACAAGTCGTCCCACAGCCCCGTTACTCGTACGAGAGACGGCTCTCCGAACAAGCAGTGAAACACGGCCTGAGAGAGAGTCACTTGTAGGCGTGACTGCCCGTCGAAGGATTGCAGATGTCTGCATGTGACACCAAAAAAACGTCTCTACACACTTCCTATGTGATTATATAAACAAATATACGTAGTTGACTGTTAGATGCTTGTTATGGAACGATATACAAAGTAGAAAACTAAATTAAAGGGGTCAAATTTGGAGAGAAATGTACGAAATTGGAGCCAAATTTGTCGATTTTGGACAGCGATTTTCTCCTATGAGCATATTTTTCAGATACATAATTTCAGTATTTTCTTAAAGCTTATTCGTCGTTGTATAACAACATATATAACTTATTTCACGCACACCAACGCACACCTATGTGCCAGCGCGTTGAAACATATCTACTTTCCTCAAACTGCTCGCAGTTGCTAAACAAGTCTTCCCACAGCCCCGTTACGCGTACGAGAGACGGCTCTCCGAACAAGCAGTGAAACACGGCCTGAGAGAGAGTCACTTGTAGGCGTGACTGCCTGTCGAAGGATTACAGATGTCTGCATGTGACACCAAAAAAACGTCTCTACACACTTCCTATGTGATTATATAAACAAATATACGTAGTTGACTGTTAGATGCTTGTTATGGAACGATATACAAAGTAGAAAAATAAATTAAAGGGGTCAAATTTGGAGAGAAATGTACGAAATTGGAGCCAAATTTGTCGATTTTGGACAGCGATTTTCTCCTATGTGCATATTTTTCAGATACATAATTTCAGTATTTTCTTAAAGCTTATTCGTCGTAGTGTAACAACATATAAATACTTATTCAGGCACACGAACGCACACCTATGTGCCAGCGCGTTGAAACATATCTACTTTCCTTAAACTGCTCGCAATTGCTAAACAAGTCGTCCCACAGCCCCGTTACGCGTACGAGAGACGGCTCTCCGAACAAGCAGTGAAACACGGCCTGAGGGGGAGTCACTTGTAGGCGTGACTGCCTGGTCAACATCCATAGATTACAGATGTCCATAAAAACAAACATACGTAGTTATTGACTGTTGTA